CTCAGATACTTTCTAGTTGTGTGACCTTGGGCAAATCACTTAACCCTGTTTGCCTCAGTTTCCTCATTTGTAAAATGATCTGAAGAAGGAAATGGCAAACCATTCCACTATCTTTGCCAAGAAAACCCCAAATGGGGTCATGAAGTGTTGGACACAACCGAAACAACTGAACAACAAATAAGTAAGATGTAAGAAAACTGGGAGGACAGCTAGGTGGCACAGTGAATAGAGCTTGTCCCTGGAGTCAGGAGGACCTGAGTTCAAATCCAGCCTTGGACACTTATTAGCTGTGTGACTCTGAGCAAGTCATTTAACCCCCATTGCCTCAAACAAAACAAAACAGAACAAAAAACACTGGAAAGGGGGGCAGGTTCTGAAGGGCTTCAAGTATGTAAGGGAGAATAACATGTAATCATCCTGGAATGCAATCCAATAAACATTTATTAATCACTTACTGTGTGCCAGGTACTGTGCCAAGCACTAGGGATACAATTAATAAAAAGACAGTCCCTGCCCTCGAGGTGCTTATGATCTAAAGGATACATAGAAACAGATTGAGAAGGGCTTTAAATGCTAAACAGAGGAGGGAGATGAGGAACCACTGAAACTTCTTGAGCAGGAGAGATATGAATATGGTCAGATTTGTATTTCAGAGGCAGCTAGATGAGGGCTGGTCTTGGAGTTAGGAAGGAAGGAAACAAGCATTTATTAAGCACCTACTATATGCAAGGCACTTTACACATTTTATTTTATTTTATCCTCACGACAATCCTGTGAGGTAGATGCTATGATTATTCCCGTTTCACAGATGGGGAAACTGAGGCAGAGGTTAAGCAACTTGGCCAGGGTCACACAGCTAGTCTGAGGCTGATCTGAGCTCAAATTTTCCTGACTCCAGGACCACTTTGCCACTTTACTGCCTCAGAAAGCCGAGACTGAGGAGTCTGCTTAGCTATCTATTGGGCTTTGCAAACCTTAAAATGCTAGCCATCATTAGTACTGAAAGATGCCCTGGTATAGTGGAAAGAGTTTCAGAGTCAGAGGACCTAGGTTTGAATCCCAGGTCTGCCACTTACTACCTGCTTGAATTTAGGTAAAACACTTCACTCCTCTGTGCCTCAGTTTCCTCACCTGTAAAAAGTGAGGTGAAATGGTTCACCTCTAAGGTCTCTTCCTTCTTTACATCTTTGACCTTACCACGTATGTTTCCTCTTCTATAAAGTCAGAGGAAGGATAACATTGCTACGGGGATCAAATGAGTTCATGTGTGTAAAATGCTTTACTTCAGCTGATTATTATCATAGAATCATCAACATGTAGATTTAGAGCTGGAAGGGACTTTAGAAGCTATGTAGTCCAATCACATCATTTTACAAATGAGGACAGTGAGTTTCAAAGAAGTTAAGTCAAAGAATTGTAGCATCAGAGCTGGAAGGAGCTAGGAGGCCCTTCCTCTTATATAGGAGGAAACCGGGTCCCAGGAAGGTTCAGAGACTTGCCCAGTTTCACACAGGTAGTGATAGTCAGAATTTGAACCCATGTCTCCTGACTCCAAAAGCAGACCTCTTATACAGGATTCTTGTATAGGCAAAGGTCTGACAGAATAACCTCTGATGTCCCTATCACTTCTGACATTCTGAGATTCTTATGGTTCTAAAAGGCAGGGAGGGTCCCAAATCTGGATCAAGAGGAAGGCAATGGATTTGGACTGCACAGAACAGAGACTCCATGACCCCCAGCTCTATTTCAGTACATGAACTCTGCTTGCAACACCATGGTGGCCCTGTTTTTCCCCACTTAGTTTCAGAAGACTCATGACAGTTGCTCTTGCTTCTCCAGATGGGTTGGAGGAATGAATAGTTTCCTGATTTGACACATCCTCAGGCAGTTTTCCTCAAAAAAGTCTTTGACTATGAGTAGGGCTGGAGAGTTTCATCACTGGAAATATAGGACTAATAATGACTGAAGAGTTCTGATTATAACTTGCTGGCAGGAGCTTCTCATTCCTGAGGCACAGACAAGTTAAGTAAGCTACCCAGAGCCACACAGGTGATTAGTTATTATTATTGATAACAATAATAGCATTTATATAGCATTTTAAGGTTTTCAAAGTTCACATATGTTATCTCATTTGATCCAGCAACCCTATGAGATAGGAGCTATTATTATCCCCACTTTATGGATAAGGTAACTGAGGCCGAGAGGTTAAGTGTCTTGCCCAGAATCACACAAATTAATAACAATAATAGCTAGCATTTATATAACACTTTGAGGTTTGCAAAGCACTTTGTATATATTATCTCATTTTATCATCATCCTCCCAACAACCTTGGGAGACAGGGGCTGTTATTAAGCCCATTTTACTTTTGAGGAAACTGAGGCTGAAAGATTTTCTGTAACTTGCCCAGGGTCACACAGCTAGTAAGTATCTGGAGGCAAGATTTGAATCAAGTTTTTCCTGAGTCCAAGCCCAGTGCCCTACCCACTCCACAGGCTGCCTCATTAATGAAACAAAGTCCTTTTTGATGTGCCCCTCTCTCCACTCAGTCTTCTTTTCTCTAAGCTAATCAATCAATCAGTAGGCATTTATTAAATCCCTCCTATGTGCCAGATATTGTGCTAAGCACTGAAGGTACAAAGAAAGGCAGAACAGTGAGGTTTCTTTTCAACTTGTTCTCACATGGCAAAGTCTCTGGTCCTCTGACTATCCTCTTTCCTCTCTTCTGCATGTGTCTGTCTTTCCTAAAATGTGGAACCCAGAATTAAATGCAATATGCTACATGTAGTCTGCAGGAAGTACACCATGTATGATGGGACCCTACCTTGTTTTGGGTACTGCGCCTCTTTTAATGCAGTGTAGGACAGTATTTAGGCAGCTAGGTGATGTAGTGCATAGAGCGCTGGGCCTGGAGTCAGGAAGACCTGAGTAAAGTCTGGCCTCAGACACACACTAGCTGTGTGACCCTGGGCAAGTCACTTAACCTCTGTTTGCCTTAATCCATTGGAGAAGGAAATAGTAAACCATTTCAGTGTATTTTGGGGTGGCTAGATGGCTTAGATGACCCAAGTTCAAATCTGGCCTCAGACACTAGCTGAATGACCCTGGGCAATTTGCTTAACCTGGATTGCTTCAGTTTCCTCATCTGTCAAATGCACTGGAGAAGGAAATGGCAAACCACTCCAGTTCTTTGCCAAGAAAACTCCATGGGGTTACAAAGAAACACACACAACTGAACAACAATAAGAGAGAATGGTATTTGTTTGTTTTGGGCTGCCACGTCCCACTTTTGTCTTATATTAAGTGGATAGTACACTAACTAGTCCCCACCATGTTGTCATAGTTTTAAAATTAATTTTTATTTATATTGTTTATTCTTAATCACCCATATTTATTAATGCATGCCTCTTCTCACCTTCCAGAGAGCAATCCCTTATAACAAAGAATAAAAAGTAAAGGAAAACAATAGTTGACTTTGAGTTTTGAGTGGCTGTCACTTAGAAGATGGATCAGATTTTTTTTTCTGTTGGAATCCAGGGAGCATAGAACTGGGACAAATGCAAAGAGGCAGATTTAAGCTTGATGTCAGGAATTTCCCAATAACAAGAGCTAGCTCAAAGCAGAGCAGGCTACCTCTGGAGACAGTGGGTTCCAATTTACTGGAAATAAAGGCTGGATAACTATTTTTTTTTAGTGGAGATTGCTTATGGGTTGGACTAGGTAAAAACTGAATGACTTTCATACAGTAGAAAGAGCATTGTCTTTGAAGACAAAGAACCAGGGTCAGAATCACAGCTTTGCTACCTCACCCCCTGTGTGACCTTGGGCAAATCATTAACCTCTCTGTTCTTCAACTGTAACTTGAGGAGGATTCGACTAAATAGCCTTAAGGGGCCCTTATAGCCCTAAATCTAAGCTATGACACCACACACGCCCCATTTTTCTATCTTGGACAGGGATGAAGATGGGCTCAGACTCGGATCAATCACCAAGCATTTATGTAGCACATACTGTGTGACACTGTCAGGTGCTAGGAATGTAACACCCCCATCCAAAAAAAATGAAATGGTCCCCACTCTCAAGGAGTTTACATTCTATTGGAGGAGGCAGACAGCAGGGTAAAGTGGGAGTCAGAAGATCTGAGTTCAGATTCTACCTTTGATTCTTACCTGTGTGATCCACTCAACCACCTTGTGCCTCAGTTTCCTCATTTGCAGTTGAATTGAGCTCCTTTCCACCTCCAGCTCTATGATTCTATGATCTCTTACATAAATATATAAAGAATGACTACAAGGCACTAGGAGCTGGGCAATCAGGAAAGGCATGACACATTTCTCTGGATGGCTTGGGGGGAGGGAATTCACTGCCTAGATGGGCTCTGGCAAACACATCTCCTCTGCTTGGGAGTCTAATGGGTAATCTTCAGATACCAGCTTCTCCCACCCGTGTGAATGTGGGCAGGATCATGTGCTCTCCAAGAAAACTCCTGTCCTGTACCTGACATTTCTCCTGCCCCCAGGAGCTCCATTGACTCCCCTATTGGGCTGACTCTTTTCACTCTCAGGGCATCTGGACTCCCCCCAGAGAAGCTGGGCATTCTGTAGCTGGTGATGCTGGAGGGGGGGATCAGAATTCCTGGTGGCACTCCTGTGGGTGAGAGACTTGAGTGTTTTTCCATTTGTCAATGAGAGCCAGAGGGATAATTTTTCCCATTCTGCCTGAGACATCGCTGCTGTTCAGCAGGAGGCTATGGAAATAGCTCATCTTGTTCTTTCTGAGTAGCATTGCCTCCGTAGGACTTCGGATGGACCAGATCATTTGGCTTGTGGACCCAAGGGGATCCCTCAAAGACTGGTCACTGTTCTTCTGTTCAAGGATATTGGAGCATCCAAAGAAACCCAGAAGAGGTGTGTGTGTGCATGTGTGTATATGGTTGGGGAAAGAGGAGGGAGATATCAGGATCCAGGCTCCCAGCAAAGCAGACCACGGAGTTTCTAGCCTTATGCAGCTTTGGGCATCTCTGAAGGAACTTGGGTTCTGAGAAAGCAAGTTTTCTAAAGCAAGGTGACCCTGAGACTTTTTGGACTCACAGTTCCCAAAGGAAGAAGTAGAGGGCTGGCTTCTGGGAACTGTGATTGGAGCAAGGGGAAACTCAGTGATCTTGTCAAGGCAGCTGCTCTCTGACCCTTGCCCTCTGAATGGGGCAGGGGCCCTGGTGTTCATGGCAGGAAAAGAAGGTAGGTGACCCAGCGATGCTCCCTGCTTCTGTAGGCTTGTCCAGATCTGAGACCACATGACATGTCAAAGTAAAACAGTATTGATCTGAAACTCAAAACATTAAGTTTGACTCTGTGGGGATTCTGGAAATGCTTGGTTATCTGGTTACTAAAAGCACAGGATTTCAGGAATCCCCGTGAAACAAAACTCTTAATTCATTATCTACCTATATATATATACTGAGGGAAGGCACTAGATGTGATGCATGGTGTGGTAGATAGAATGCTGAACTTGGAGAAGGGAAGACCTGAGTTCAAATTCCTTTCTGACCCTTACTACTTGTGTGACCTTGGGAAGGACATCTAAATTCTCGGAGCTTTCATTTGCTGATCTATAAAATGAGGGGGTCGAACTGGACAACCTCTAAGGTCTTGTCTAACCCTAGATCTATGATTCTGGGCAACCTCACTTTGTGATGTATTTGTGGGTGCGTTGGAGGAATTGTGGTTATGTTGGAGAAATTGTGATGTATATGTGGATATGTTGGAGAAATTGCTTCCCCTTCCAGGACCTCAGGGTGCCTGACTCAGAGAGGAGATCCTGGGTTCAGGTCCCCTCTCTGACAGTCTCACACTATGGAACCATCAGTAAATCACTTAACCTCCCAGTGTCTCTGTTTTCTGAGATCCAAAATGGAGATAATTTTGCCTGGAGTGTCCAAGAGTACTTTGAGGAGATAATTAATGTAAAAAATGCTTAAAATATCAGACATTATTATTATAATATATTCCAGTAGGGACTGTTTTTATTTTTTTTCTTTTGTAACTCGAGCATCTAGCATGGTGCCTTGAACACAGTGGGTACTTAATTAGTACTTGTTGAAGTAAATTTAACCCATAAAATGAGGCAGTAAAACTATATATTCTATAAAGTCTAAACCTAGCTCTAAAATTGAACAACTTTCATCCATTTATTTATTCCTAGAGTCAAAAGAGTTAAATTGAAAATGAACATTAGATATCTTCTAATCCCACACTCTCATCTTATTTGTTTATTTGTTTTTATTTATTCATTTATTTGTTTACTCATCTGTCTTTATTCATTCATCTATTTAATAATTTATTTATCTATTTATTTATTCATTCATTCATTCACTCATTCATTTATTTTTGTCCATATCTGTGGCTTCATTACTGCAGGGAATTTCCAATACAGATTAGTTCCTAGCCTGCAGCTGTTGGTTTTATAGAGTTGCTTTGGGGGCTTGCCCAATATCCCTCCATCAGGATGATCAGAAATGGCATTTGAACCCTCACCATCCAGACTTTGAGGCCAGTTCTCTATTTACTAACACATGCCATCCTGACTCTCTTAGCCTTTCATCTTATCTGTGAGATCTCAGAGGAGGAAACAAGTTTTGACAGGCTGAGGGACTTGTCCATGGTCCTACAACTAGGGAGCCTCAGAGGGAGGATTTGAATTCAGGGTCTTCCCCACTCCATTCTAGCCACACTGCCACTGTTAGTGGCAAGGGTTAGTGAGATAATCACAGAAAGAAAAGGACCCTTTTAGAGAGGCACATACACATCCAGTCAATGTGTCTTGTTTTACGTTATGCAGAAACGGCAACAGCTGTAAAATCCTTATTCTTGCCACCACAGTCCTTGGAAATGGCAAGTGGTTCAACATCAGAAATGGATTTGTAGAGGGTGGAAATGACATTGAGGAAGATACATGACCATCCACTTTGGTGCTGCACAGTGAGACTTTCCATATGACTTGTGGCTGGACCCGCTTATAGATGTTGTCTCCCCCATCAGAATGGGAGCCCCTTAAGAGCAGGGACTAATTTCTCTACTTGTATCCCTGGCATTTGTAAAGAGCACTTAATCTATTGCCTGGCATATAATAGGTGATATATATATATATATATATATATATGTATAGGCTTATGAGATGATATATATATGCTTATCCTCCCCTTCCCTGCATTTCCACCTTCCCTTCCCTTCTAAAGTCCCTTATACCACTAATTCAGAATCACAGAATTGAACAATAATAGCATTTATGTAGCACTTTGAAATCTGTAAAATGCTTCAAAAACAGGAGACAGCAAGAACAAGAGCAAGGAAGAGGAATAAATATTTATATAACACCTATTACGTGTGAGGCAGCTATGTGGTATAGTGGATAGACCACCGCACCTGGAGTCAGGAAGACCTGAGTTCAAATCTGGCCTCAGACACTTTCTAGCTGTGTGACCATGGGCAAGTCACTTAACCCTGTTTGCCTCAGTTTCCCCGTCTGTAAAATGAACTGGAGAAGGAAATGGCAAAACAGTCTAATATCTTTGCCAAGAAAGAAGCTGACAGGACTGAATAATAACATCAAAAATGTGCTAGGCGCTTTACAAATGTTATCTCATTTGATCTTCACAACAACCTTGTGAGGTGGGTAGCATTATTATCCCCATTTTACAGTTGAGGAAACTGAGGCAGAGGTTAATCGACTTGCCAGGATCACACAGCCAGAAAGATTCTGGGGCTGGATTTGAACTCTAATTCCAGGTCCAGCTTTCTATCCACTGCACAAATGTTATCTCATTTTATCCTCACAATAACTTTGGGAACTAGGTGCTATTATTATTTTGCCCATTTTGCAGATGGGCAAATTGAGGTAGACAGAAGTTAAGTGACTTGTCCAGGATCACACAGCTAGGACGTGACTGGGACTGGATTTGAACTCAGGTTTTCCTGGCTCCAGGTCCAGGACTCTGTTCACTGTGCCACCTAGCTGCCTCTCAATTTGAGGACTAGAAGAGACCTGGGTTGGGGACATCATCATTTCACGCTCCTGGTGTTTTAGCTTTAAGGACACCTCGGGTGCTTCTTCCTGAGTAGGACGTCCACGCTGCCGGTCGTAGGAGATCTGAAGTAACAACCTGCTTCCTCCTAAGGGCTGTGACTCACGCTTCATGCCGTCGCATCCTCTTCGATGGTCAGAGTATTTGACTTTGGCAGATGGGATTTGAAAGGCTGACTATGAGCAGGCTATTTTGGGCACCCATTTACTGAAGTGGTAACGATAACTCTAAATATGTTTTCCCTCCAGGAAGAGAAGTCACCATGGAGGTTTGCTGCTCCATGTGATGGTGACGACCACAGAATTAGAATCTGAGTTAAGAAATCTGACTTCATGCTCTGGATCTTTCTCTTCTCATCTCTGTGACTTTGGCTAAGTCACTTCACTTATCTGGGTCTCAGTTTTATCTATTAAAAAAAGAGGCAGCTGGGGAATGCAGTAGATAGAGCTCCAGGCCTGGAGTCAGGAAGACCTGAGTTCAAATCTAGCCTCAGATACTTACTAGCTCTCTGACCCCGGGCAAAGTCACTTAACCCTGTTTGCTTCAGTTTCCTCATCTGTGAAATGAACTGGAGTGGGCAATGGCAAACCGCTCCAGTATCTTTGCCAAGAAAACCCCAAATGGGGTCACGGAGAGTCAGAAATGACTGAACAACCACAACCATAGTGTAGTGAGTAAAGGTCCTTTTCCATCTCTAAACTGTAGACAAACTCCTTTGATAATCAGGATGGATTTATTACTTACTCCTCAAGCCCTTGAAGAGGCACAACTAGGAATATTGTTTTAATCCGGGTTAAAAGTAGTTGTTGTTGTTGGCAGTGATGGCACATTGGGCAGCCTGGAGGTATGGAGTATGGTCATGGCACAGGGCACCCTTTGACCACAGCTCCTATTGCACTGAGAAGAACAGCCTAATTCTTCCCTTCATCCTCCATCCTTCATGGGTCCCAAACTCCAATATTTTTCCCTCCCCCAGTGCTTATCTTCCCATCCACCCCTTATAGGGATGCACGCTGGTAGAAGACCAATGTAACACGGGCTCATCAGTCTTGAGAATAGTGGAGAGGAAGCAGGCCCCGCTAGATATTGGTTCCCTGGAGAAAAAACCTTACCTGCCCTGCCCTAATTATAGCCACAAACTCAGTTTAAATTAGAGTAAGCCCCATTTAGGACATGGGTGTGTTTCAGTGTTTCATTAGATCTGGGGTCTTTCTTGGATAGGTGTAGAAGATGCGGTCATGGCTAGTGGAGAGAGGAAAGGGAACCATACCAGTGTAGGTCCAATCTTGGCATACAACCTTGTACTCCTCCCCTGAGAAAGGCAAGTACAGGAAACAAACAAATAAGACTCTGGAGGGATCACTGGCTTCCCAGGCCTGCATTAGCAAAGAATCAGTCCTTGACGAGATCAATAATTGCCAGTTGACTGGAGATGCTTCCAGAGATCCAGGAAATGGGTCTTTGGTAGATACCGCACTATGGTTGTGGTCAATGGGCCCATCCTCTGGGTGGTTAATTGATGCCACAAAGTCCCATTTAGAATGCTGGGAACCACTCTAAATTTCATTTAAAAATCATCCATTTATTCATTTTAAGTGGCTGGAAACTTTCTCTTGTAATCAGGGGCCATTAGCAAATAAGAAAGCAAACCAGTCCTTGACATCTTACTGAATTCTGGGGCCATCCCAGCAAGCGTATGGTCAGTCGTTTTCCACATATTGTAAAAGTGACCCCAGATTTTCTTTCACTCATTTTTGGGGAAAGACTAGATGAAGATTTGGCAAGTATGTTAGGAAGGAGAATTCTTGTTCAGTTACCCACTGGAGTAGATGACTGCCAGGGTCCTTCCGAAGTCTAAAATCCTGCGTGATTCCGCGTGGCAGAGACTTGTTTCACTGTCTACACTTGTCGCTTTGTAGGATTGTAAGAGAGGAACATGAAGTGACATGAAAGGCAGAAGTAAATAGCTCTAGGTTACAACAGAGGATTCTAGGTTAAGACAGATGGTTCTAGGTTAAGAAGAAGGGAAGCAGGGAAAGAAAAGAAAGGGCTGAGTATTAGATAACTCAATCCAATGGATTATGGAGCATGTTTGAGTAGACCTAGAACACCAGCTAGGTTGCAAAAGCACTGATCAAAAGTTAGGGCCAAATTTTA